TTCCCCCTTATTCTTCTTTAGAATATTTGTCCTTATAGCCCCATTATTTCTTATTTACATTTTTCTTCCTTCATGTTCTACTTCTTACTAAGAATAATTCATATTATTATTATTATACATTATTATACACATATTTTCACTTTTGACCTTTCCATATTTATTCTCCTCTATTATTTCTAGTCTCCAACCAGACATACACCTTGTTCCATACTATATAATACTCTGTGTCTTCCTTTTCTTTTATCTCTTTTGTTAATTTGTCCATCTCAGCACAGTCCAGGATTTTTCTTATTACTTCTTCCTCTGATAGTATATTCTCATTTTTCCAGCACTGTGCATATGCTATTCTTGCCGCCATTATTATATGTAAAATTAAGTACCATATTTCTTTACTATATTTTCTATTTAAAATACCCAACAAAAAGATCTCTGGTTTCCAGTCTACAGATTGGTCTAGTATTTCTTGGATCCATTTTCTTATTGTAGACCAGTATTTTTTTGCAACTGGGCATGTCCACCATAGATGATAATATGTTCCATGTACTTTTTTACATTTCCAGCATGTTGGCGAATCATTCTGGAACATCTTGGCAAGCTTTGCTGGTGGAAGATGCCATCTGTAAAACATTTTCAACTGGTTTTCCTTGAATGCCGCCAACATAGTCAATTTTATATTTATTTCCCATATTTTTTCCCATTTCTCCAATTCTATATTATATCCGAAATTTTTTGCCCATCTAATCATTGTGTCTTTGACAACCTCGTCTTCCATTTTATATCTCAATAGGTATTTGTATAAATTGCTAATTAATTTTATTTCTGTTCCATGTATAATTTTATCCAATTCTTGCGGCTCTTTTTGGATTTCATATAATTTTTTGTCCTCTGTATATTTAGATTGAATTTGTGTAAATGTCCACCAATCAATCTCTCTGCCAATGTCTTGTTCCAATTCTTGTTTTGTTTTCAAATTTCCCTGTTCATTTACTAATTCCTTGTATCTAATTATCTTATTTATATCCAATAGGTTTGGGTATTTCAGAACTTCTGTTGGGGATAACCACATTGGAATTCTTATATAATGTTTTTGTTTTATTTTTTCCCAAGTCTGTAGCAATGCATTCCTAACTATGTGTCTTTGAAAATATCTGTGTATTTTATGTTTTTCATCCCATAGGAATGCATGCCACCCTGCTTGCAAATCATATCCTTCTATTGTTAAAACTCTAGTATTTTTCAAATCCATCCAATCTTTTAGCCAAGTTAAGCTTGATGCTTGGTAGTATATTTCCGACTCTGGTAATGCCAATCCCCCTTTATCTTTCGTATCTTGCAAGAGTTTTAATTTAATCCTGGGTTTTTTCCTTTGCCATATAAATTTAGTGATCAATTTATTTAATTTTTGAAAGAATGTTTTCCCTAATTTTATTGGATAATTTCCAAATATTTTAAATCTAATGACCACTGGGTGAGATCTGATCTTCTCTTTATCCTAAGTATTTTTTTTTCCTGTAAAAGCTGCCCAAAGTTTCTTTCCCCCCTGTGAGGAGAGAGGGAAGGGAATTTCTATCCCACCCTGTAAGAATAGCGGCGACTGACTACCGTATATGCCGGCGTATAAGGCGACTTCCGCAAGCATTAAAATCGGTGCCAAAGACGGGGGTCGTCTTATACGCCGAGTCGTCGTATACGCCGGAAATACTGGTAGTTTCCGGCGTATAAGACGATGTTCTAGGAATGTGACTCAGCACCAAAGACAGGGGTCGTCTTATACGCTGGGTCACCTTATACGCCGGCATATACGGTACCCAGAGGAATTAAAGCACTAAAAGAACAATTTTAATCTAATTGGATTTATATGTTCCTGAAACTTGGGGACCAAAAATTTTCTTATTTTTATTGGAGACTTTTCCTTTTATTTACACAAAAGAAATAAAATTGGAAAAAAGATTATAATAATTTTGGACTTAAAAAACTTTAAATAGCAGAAGAAATTTGAGAAAGAAAAAGAACACATTGAATGGAAGATAAGCGTATCAGGGCAATCATGGGGAATTGGAATAATAGGGAGACAACTTAATAAATATAAATGGGCTAGCGCTTCCCAAAAAATGGCAGTTAAGTGGTCTCCTTTATTTCAAATTATATAATTATAAAGGGAGATCTATTTGATGATCTAAAAGCACTGATATGGAAGGCTAGTTGGCAAAGGAAGAAAGCCAGAATAAGGCTGAAGAAAATTGGGGCTTTGATTTATTAGAGGGGATTTCATATTAAGGACACTGGTTTGATTATCTTCTGTTGCTTGTGTCTGCTTTATATTGAATTCTAATATGACCTGGTCACTCTCCCCTAAAGTTCCTGCAACTTCAATTCCCTCTATCACTTCTTTGCTGTTGGTAAGAATAAGGTCCAGTATAGCTAGTTGCCTCCCCTACCTTTTGGGGGATGACGTTGTCAGCTAGGTGGGTCAGGAACCTGTTTGATCTCCCACATTGCGGAGTTTGTCTCTCAGTTGATATCAGGGTAGTTAAAGTCCCCCATTACTATTATGATGTGTTTCCTACATGCATTGGTTAACTACATTGGTTTTAAAAGGAGTAATCATAAATTATACCACTACTAATACATTCCAATAAATAAATAACTTAACAGAACCCTTGAATTGCCTGCTTATTATACCTTTTCAGATTTCAGATAAATAAATACATTCTTCATATTACAGATAAACAAATGCTACTTATTTTCTGGCACAATAGAAAATATAACATAAACTGCAATTATACATCAAAGAAAAAATAAAAGCTTGTTATGTCATTTTTTTTGGAAAAACTGAGGAATTGAGATAGGGGACTAGCAATAACATGTGGCATAATAGGGTCAGTTTTCTGGGAGATGAAATAACTAATATATAGAGAAGGAAAAGGAAACATTTCTATTTATATGTTTTAGTTAAACTTACACTTTTTGATATCTATGTTGCTGAAATACGTATATTTTTATCTATGCAAATTAATTCAAAAGCAACTACAATAGTGAAATATTTTAAATTCCTTGACAGAAAAAGAAAGAAAAATAGTATTACAATTGATCAAAAAAACTTTACTGATGTACTTTTTATCACATTTTTTGGAAATGTTGCCTAGGATATGTTGAGAGACAGACTTGTTTGTGGAGTTGTTACTATTTCAAAACATTTTAGTAAATAAGGACTGTGTGTGTGTGTGTGTGTGTGTGTTTATGTGTGTGTGTGTGTTTATACACACACTTTCTCATATAAAGTATGTAGGTATATGATATACAGTATAATGTATATAATTATGTAAATTATTAGGTAAGTGTTACAGAAATAGTAGTAAAAAATTTATAACATTGGCAGTTAGCAGAAAAATAAAAAACATATTACTCACTTTGAGTCCATAAATCAAGGTCATAACTCACTAAAACTATGAAATATAGTGAGATATTTAGCTGTAAAAATGTACTTAACTATAATTTATAGATATTCAATAATCAGTGGGCCATTTAATAACTAGGGTATACACAGTGTAACTTCAAAATGGAATTGCACTGAGATATTTATAAAAAATACTTGTTTTTGTAGGGAATGTAAACATTCTTCAAATACAGGTACTCCTCACCTTACAACCACAGTGTAGCCCCAAATTTCTGTTGTTAAGCAAGACAGCTGCTAAGTAAATTGTGAATTAAGTGAAAAGGTTGGGGACTGCTGCCCTCTAGGATACACTTTAGTTATTAGAGAGCCAGTTTGGTGTAGTGTTTAAGGCATCAGGTTAGAAACTTGGAAACTATGAGTTCTACTCCCACTTTGGGCACAAAGCCAACTGGTCACCTTGGGCCATCACTTTATTATTCTTATTCCAGCTGATTAATTACTAGTATGATCTGAAGCATAACTATTAAGGCCCTAAATATCTTGATTCCATCTATAGCTCTGTTTTCAGGCATAAAATAATAACTTGTATTTTGCTAAGTGTTTTGTTAATTAGCTTTCAGTGTTCTGAACTGGTGTTTCAATATATTATTTTATATATTTATATCTATCTATATCTATCTATATCTATATCTATATCTAGATCAGTGCTTCTCAATGTTTGTGTGACGGCGACCCCCATCACACAAATGTTCTGCGCATGCGCGGCGCCCCCCCATGCGTGACGTGCATGCACGATGACCCCACGCACAACTCGTGCGCACGGCACCCATGCGCAGTGTGCATGCGCGGTGGCGCCCATGCGCGGTGCACGTGCACGGCGGCGCCCCCATGCACGGCGTGTGTGCAAGGCGCCGCGGAAAATGGCGGATCACCACCTTTGGCGACCCCCGAAAAATGGTCGATTGACCCCAAATGGGGTTACGACCCATAGGTTGAGAATCGCTGATCTAGATAGATAGATATAGATATAGATATATTTAAGGTAAACTTTTTTGCCATCAGTTTAGGTACTTTTACTAGAAAAATTAAATAATTGTTTAAAATCAATACAATAGTGGAAATTTCCTGTTCTAGACATACATTTTTATATTAATATTGTTGTTGTTGTTATTTCAATATCAATTATAATATTGATTCTTGTTTCATTGTATCGGGTAGCTTTCATGGATGGATAGATGGGTAGGTGGGTAAGTGGATGGGTAGGTAGGTAGGTAGGTAGATAGCTAGATAGCTAGATAGCTAGATAGATAGATAGATAGATAGATAGATAGATAGATAGATAGATAGATAGATAGATAGATAGATAGATAGATAGATATTCTGCTTTTAATAGATGGCAGTATTACTGTCAAGAAAAATCCATGGACACATATCTGAAGTCACCAGGAACCAAACTTGTCTTGAAAAGGGCTGTAACTTTCTAAAGTACTGCAGTCATAATATTTTTGAATTAAATGAAATATTGGCCTGGATGTTTCTACACTTTGGAATCATTATCTACGTTACTCCAATTTTTAATCTGATTTTTATTTTCATTTTTCAGGTGTAGCAACCGGACCCAATGTGCAGTGGTTGCCGGCCCAGATGTGTTTCCTGACCCTTGTCCAGGAACATACAAGTACTTGGAAGTGCAATATGAATGTGTCCCTTACAGTATGTATTATTATTACTATAGTAGTTGCTATTATTGTTGTTAGTGGTGTACCACTATACCAAATTGCTATAATTGTTGGCTTTCGGTTTTTTAGGTTATTTCATGCTTCCATAAGTGTCTTCTGACAAACTGAGCAGTGGTGTGATAGTAAAGAAATTGACTAACGTAGAATTGTGGTTCTCAACAGAAAGCCATCAAGTTCCGTTTCCCCATCCCCGGTATTTTTATTTATCTCACAGTAATTATAGCCTTATGAAAAGTAAATGGAATCTTAAGTTCTGAAGCAGTATACAGGTAGTCCTCGATTTACCACCATTTGTATAAAGACAGTCCAAAGTTACTACTCTTATGGCTTATAATACATTTCTGACTGTCACAAAATGTTGTGTGCACACCCTTTCGGCCACATGATTGCAACTTGGATGCTTGGCAGTTGGCTCACATTTATGTCCAATTGCAGTGTCCCACAGTCATCTGATAATGATTTGCTTTTTCTTTTGCTTTTTTTGCTGGTTTCTGGGGAAAGTTGATTCAAACGAATGACAGCATGTTAATGACCATGTGATTTGCTAAATGACCACAGTGACTCTCTTTAGGATCATTTAAAAATGGTCATAAAATTGGATCTGGTCACATGTTGATTCAACCTACGACCGCAGTGACTTACAACCAAAATTCCGGTCCCAGTTATAAACTGAGAACTTCCTGTATTCCATTCCAATTTCTGAAAGAGGACAAACAAGGAAGATTGTTTCCATATTTTCTTTTGGGATCTGCAGATAGTCCTAGTTTAGCAACCACAATTGGGATTACAATCTTCCTTCAGCTTTCCTTTGATTTATAAACCTATGAAGCTCATAAATGTGAGGATTGGTCACAAAGTTACTTTTTCATTATTGTCATTAACTGCAAACAGTTGCTAAAGGAGGCAATTGGTAAATGTGGACTACCTGTGTTAAAAATCAGTTGAGAGACAGATAAAATTTTGGTCATTTCAGCACTCTTTGTCTTATATAAAGAAATGGGAACTTCTGCAGTACTTAGCATGAATTTGTAGTATAATTATTGCTTGTAGTTTAATTATTGCTTAATTATTAATAAAATCTATCTTTTTGTTGTGATATGTATGAATATATCATTTCTGCACTGCTCTTCTATAATTACTCTCAGAACAATCCTCCCATACTTTCTTTTAGTGTAACACAATTTCAGACATGTAATGTTTGGACAACTTTGCATTTACTCCATCACACTTGTAAGATTTTCACAAAAGTAAACTTGAGAACTGTCTTTCAGATTATACTGTATTATTCATCTATCTAAATGAGCATAATAACACTTGAGAATATTTCATAAAATGAAATGTTTCTGAAATTAGTAATATCTGAGACATTTTTAGGCTGAAATCTTATCCACCTGCAAATAAGGCCCATTGATTTTTTTTATTGAAAAATTTTTATTAACAATTAACAAAAAAAAAATTTAACCCACAAAGTAGAGTAATTTCAGGAAAAGGGAATGTGTTTGAAGGATGATTAATAAATGAAAGAAGCAAATCTGAGTAGGAAACTGAATAGATATGTAAATAGATTTTTGGTCATGCCCATTTTGGGCAGTATTACTACTAAAAGAACTTACATCATTCCCACAATAAACTGTACCCAAAATATATATGATCTGTCTGTCTGTCTGTCTGTCTGTCTGTCTGTCTGTCTATCTATCTATCTATCTATCTATCTATCTATCTATCTATCTATCTATCTATCTAACAGGGTTGGCAAAAGAGCTAATAACGCCTTTTAAAATGGTTTAAGTGTTGTTTTACAAAAAGTTCAAATCATCTTAATTCAAATACTGGATAACACACTCAGTCACATTCACTTAAAATGCCCTGTCCAAATAAATTCATCTTTATTATGGCTTAATATGATAAGCAGCATTACACAACATTCAGAGGTAAATATAGGTTCTCACAATAAGATTGACTCCACTATCCAACCTCATTTTAATCTACCGTATATGCCGGCGTATAAGGCGACTTCCGCAAGCGCTAAAATCAGCACCAAAGATGGGGGTCGTCTTATACGCCGAGTCGTCTTATACGCCGGAAATACTGGTAGTTTCCGGCGTATAAGACGACGTTCTAGGAATGCGGCTCGGCGACAAAGACGGGGGTCGTCTTATACGCCGGGTCGCCTTGTACGTCGGCATATACGGTAATCTCATATTTTATACAAATCTAAGGTCTTGAGTATCTTTCCAAAAGGCAGAGTAGTAGGGAGTTAGATTTGATTCCATAGGTTAGGAACAATGCAAGAAAATGTTCTCTTCTGTGTATCAACAAACATATTTGTGCTGTGTTGTGCCTCCAAAGGTAAATGTATATTTAAGAGGATTTCTTTTGCTGAAGTTAGTGTGAGAAATTCATATTAAAAATTTGGTCCTAAGTTGGTTAAACCATGAACCATCTAGTGCAGGGGTGTCAAACTACCGGCCTGCAGGCCGGTTTCATCATACCGAAGCCACGACCCACCCCATTGCCAGCAATACAAAAAGTCATGATACATCACGTAACATGGCGAGTTTGACACCCTTGATCTAGTGCTTTAAAGTTTAGAATTAAAATTTTCAACTGTTTTGTATCTATGAAGCACTGGAGATCAGGATAGGTTTTTCAACTCAGACAGTAGTGCTAGCTAAAGGGAGAGTCACTTTGGTGACAAACAGATTCGTATCCTAGATCAATTTATGGCCTTGAATTCCTTGTTTGTTGCCATAGTAACTAAGAGTCTTTCTATTCCTTTCTTCTTAACGCTGCTTGCTGGCAACCTTGAAATAACAACCCCACAAAAAATAAAGAGGCAACCATCATCACCACCATCCCTCTCAAATAATGCAACCTCCTGTTATTCTGGGTGTTTAAATACTGTGATATTTTCATCTTCAAATGATTGATCATAAATAACTAAAACAATCTGTTCTCTCCTTGTACAGCAGAGTACTGTACTTGGAGAGATAGAATTTGTCAAAAAGAAAATATATATTTATTTTAATTACTGGTCTTGGGGCAGTTGTCTTGAAAAGTTTCTAGAGAAGTAACTTGCTAGATACTAGCATTACATAAAATTCTATATGACATATCAAGATGCCAACTTTTTTCTTATGTCTACTCTGGCAGTATTATAACAGGATGAAACAACATCTTCCAGAGCATCACAAGATTGTAGAATGACTCATTTTCACACTTGACATAGCCTTCCACAGTCTCCAGTACTGCACAAACTAGCCAGTTTTTGCACACTCAAAAATGTCACAAAGCTGTCATGAGAAATATAAATACCAAAACCAGCTGATTAGAGGGGATAATTTAAAATCTCCTGGCAGACCTTTTCTTCCAAGGGGTCCCCAACATATATTTGTTATGATGGATTATCAATAGTGAACACCCTGATAAACCACAGGGTGTCTGAATAGAGAGATCCTAGCCCTTGTATCTATTGCTTGCATTGCTTGTATTTTTTATTTTATTTATCAAATTTAGAAACCACCCATCTGGCCACAGAAGCAGCAGGCAAGCACGCGAGCATGCAAAACTCCATTTGTGCAAGCAGTGGGCACCTTCACACATGAAGCTCCACTGGTGCAAGTGGAGTTTTGTGTGCAAGTGCATACACACCCGCCACTTACACAAAACCATCCCTTCTTCCCCCTGCCACCATTGCCGCCACTGTCGGCCAGTCCACAGAGCCAGAAAAATTGGAGACCGCTGGTTTAGAACACTGTTGTGCTATGCCAAAGCTGGGATGTTGTCATATATGAAGCATAGGACACACTGATCCTATTCAAATGCTAGGTTCCATAAGGGATATCTAAAAACCAGGAATGTTCACAGGGCAGATGAAGAGTGAGGATGGCAAACAGAGCATTAAAATGTAAACCTCATACATTTTGAACATGCATTCATATACAAAAGGGGCAGTGTTGCATTGTGATGTTGCATCCCCCAACACTGCCCCTTTTTCTACTCCCTGCAAATGTTCCTGGAAAAAAACAGCTGATCATGTACAGATAAATTATAATATTACCAAAAGTTTGCATCTAGAACCTACTTATTTCAGTGTAGACACTGAACTATACTTGTGGAAGCTGGCTTTTCAGTGAAGTCACCAGTGCAACTTCATTCTTCCCCACATGTGTTGAATTTTATCCAAAGAGTAAATGGCCCAACAGCTACTGTTTTTCATGTCAGTAGTTATACATGAAATGAAGAGTTATAAATACAGTTTTCAATGCAAAGCAGAAGAACTAGAATTCATCAGAAGAGTTAGCCTCATTTCTGATGTGCTCTGCGGAATGGGATAACTCGCCTTGGCCAACTGGCCATGGCCATCTCACCACAGCCAACTTAGTGCAACCATTTCACCATGGCCATTTTGCCATGGCCACATCGCCACAGGACAATTCACTGTGGGATAGTTCCACGTGGGATAACTCAACATGATAAATGTTATCTGCTACTATTTCTTCAACATTATTTCCATTGACAAAAATGGAAATAATGTTGAAGAAACAGTGGTGTATAACATCTATCACATTGAGTTAAACTGTGTGGATTGTCCTGTGTCAAGTTGGCTGTGGCGAGTTATCCCATGGCGAAATGGTCGTGTCGGGTTGGCCACGGTGAGATGGCCATGGCAAGCTGTCCTAGACCCTACTGAATTTGTAGCAGGGGTTCTTATCAAAATATAGTTTTCATAAGTCATCTGGTACAGTAATATCTTATGTCACATTTTATAACTATTTTAATTGTTAAATATTTCAAAACCTGTTTTGTTCTTATTTTATCCACTGCCAGTAACCAAAATTTTTGTCATTTTTTTCATAGCAAGACAGATTTTTTCCATCTTTGCCTTCAGTCCATGGAACAACTGTGTTTGTTTGCATTTCTCTTCTCCTTTACCCGTTTTCTTCTCAGAACAGTCATTGTTTATATTAGCTG